CATTTATTACCCTTAAAAAAAAAACCTTTACTTGAGAGACATTATGGCAATAAATGGTATGTCATGACAAGAAGTACATATTTAGAAGACCAGGATGGCAGGCACTCTAAGCATGACCTCTCTATTACACATCGCCATCCTCAGTGCAGCCGCCTGGCTCACGGGCACCAGCATATACAGTTAGTCAGGGTGAGAGTCTCCCTAAGCAACCGCTAGTCTCAAAAACCTGCTGATGTTCCCCAGGACCACTGCCCCACCCATCTCATGTGTACAAATGCATGGCTTTGCCCCTGCCATGTTTCTCAGCTTTTCTCCTTGCCCACTCCTCATTGTCCAATCCTCAAATTCTCGCTTTCCTTTTATTTGTGTTGTACCTTTCTATATGTAATTCCTCTTTTGAGTTCTTATACTAGGGAGACAATATGATATTTACACATGTGGGTCTGGTTTATTTCACTTATAAGTATATCTTCAAGTGGCATCCACTTAAATATGAAGGCTTTGAGTTTATCATTCTTTATAGCAGAGTAATACTCCATTGAATAAAAATACCACATCTTTTTCAATCACATGTGACGTGCATCTTGGTTGATTCCAAGATCTGGCTATCACAAATTGTGCTGCTATAAACATAGGTGTGCATATATCACTATGATATGATGCTTTCAGTTCCTCCAGGAAAATTCCCCTTAGGGGGATAGCAGGCTTGAATGGGATTTCCAGTCCTAGTTTTTTAAGGAGTCTCCACACTGATTTCCATTCTAGTTTGTGTTTGAGACACATAATGACTGTAGGTAATTGATACATGTATAGGATTATACACATTATCTGATTCAATAAAATACATTCATATGGGGGGGGGAAGGACAAATATATTGTAGTCCTTGCCCACAAGGATAGGCCCAAGGAAGAAATAGGACAAGACCACTATTGTGTGAAGCAAAGGGATTGTCTATTATAGAAATGTGAAGCCCTCATCACTGCAGCAGTCTCATCTTACCCGTATAGAGAGAAATCTGCTTCCTATACCTTTAGCTGAGTGGTAACAGGGCCATCCATTCTAATTCCCAGCAGCCAACAAATATTAAGCAGTAGAATCAGAGGGCCATTGACCCAAAGCCCAGCAGGCTTCCCACACCCTTTTCTAGGAATGCCTGGTGCATTAGCAGAGCTGCTTATACCACACACATGTTCTATTCCCAGGTTCACTCAGTAGTTCAGTATTGATTGAGTGCCTCCTGTTTTTTGCTAGCATGGTGGTAAGTATAGGAGATGCAAAATAGAGCATCTCAAGGAGTTTGTGGACTCATAAAGAAAGGTACTTGTGAGCAAACATCTTTGGAGGTACTTGTGCTCTGTGGACAGCTCATGTGAAGCAAAAGAGCATAAAGGGTGAAGGTTGGTGGTACTTGGAGGAGGTCAGAAATGGCTTCAGAGACAGTTTGCGCTTGAACTGAGTTTCAAAACCAGTAGACAATTGCCTAGCAGGTAGAAGTGGTGGTAGAGAGATGAGTGTGTGGAGTGGAGTGAAAGCACCATCTTCATTCATGAGAAAGGCCTCCCAGGGTCCAGGAAACCATTCCTCACAGAGGGCAGTGGGCATCATAGGGACAGGGTGCTATAGAGGTGGGCCGTGGCCAGGCCAAGGAGAATATCTGTCATGGGAAAGTGATTCTGTTTCTTGCAGGCCCACTCGGTGTGCTGAGGTAGCTATACCTCCTTTTTTCTCCTATAACCCATGACTCCAACCCCCAGGAGACACAGAGAAGCCACTCACCTTGTGAAGAAGCAGCTGGTGCACTCCTCCGGGGTTGGCCCGCGGCACTTGGCACATGAAGCATCACAGGTCTGGCAGCGGCCGTGCTCATCCATGTATTCTCCTGCAGAACAGAGGCTAGTTGTTTACTTCATTTCTACATGGTGAGACTGCCTGAGCTGTCAGTGTGAGAGTGGCCATGTTCTCTCTATGGCTGCTGGGAGCAATGGAGAGAACACACAGGGAGAAAAGAGGCCCTGAATGCCTCAGTGACCAGTGCTAAATCCCGACCTTGTCATAACAACTGCTCCTTCCCCAGTGGCCCAGAAGTTGGAACCTTATAAAGTTATGAGGCAATGACATGATTTTAGGCCTAGCCAACATGTGTTACAGATTATATAAGTAGGGAAGGCCATGGGGGTCTTCCCACTGGACCCCTTTATACTTGTTTCATACTGATTTTCTCATTAAAAGCCAAGACTGTAGGTTTACTCAGGCCACTATGGTCATGATTCAAGACAAGCAGTGAGCAAAATCCACCTGTGTCTTGTCTAAACATGGCTGAGTGGGAGGGAGTGTGGTTACTGGTCAAGAATGGGAGTTGAATCTTGGTTAATATTTGGCAGATATGAGCTACTTTACCCTGCAAGAGTAAAAATGAAGAAATAGTCAGATAACTCTTCCTTAACTGGACAGTTTATCATTCCCAAGGAAAGACAGATATGCAGCCTGGCCATAGAAGTCAGTCCAGCCTCACAGATATCTTTGGAGCACTTAGGAAATTACTCCCATGGCAAAGTGCAAGAGAGAGGTCAGCTTCACTGAAGGTGCTAGTCCAAAGATTAGCCTCTACTCAGTGAATTTTACCCTTCTGTCCACGCATATTCATACTCCCCTTCCTTGGTCTCAAAGGAAGTCAATAAATTTCTTCAGCCCAATCCAGGAAGCCAATTTTCTTGATTTGGAAACAGATCATGCTTAGAAAATATAGTTTTGGATTTTAGCTGTCATAACCTTTCCTCAGCCCCACCCTATCCCCAACTATGACAGCCCTGTAAACATCTGAACATTGTCACTCTGAGATGCAGCTGGTGTGATGAGGTAGGGTGACCCATCCATGGTTTACTCAAGCTGTCTTGCTGATGCTGTGAGTTACTGTCTCATTTGTTGCATTGAGGAAGCCTGGAAATGTAGGCTTTCCTGGTGAGGGATGAGGGAAAATCCATCCTGAACTGGTATACAGTTTGGAAAGGTGAACCTAACACACACAAACCTTCCATTTCCTAAAAATGACAAAGATAGAAATGAAGACACTGGTGGAGCTCACAGCAGGAAAGCCTTTCATGTCTGTGAAGTCATTCTGTGTAGTTTGCTAACTGAAGGAGAAAAGGACACACTCAGAACCAGCAAACAGCTCACAGCAGCACACTCTGCACACTTTGAACTCAGTCTGCTAAGTCTTTTAATGATTACCAAGGTACGGAATGGGCCAGGAATCTGATATATAAATTTTAGAAGGGGGCTGTGGCTCTTAGGTTAGTAGTGGAGACCTAGGATCCAGAGAGTATATATCTGTCAGGGATAAAGAATGCAGGTATGAGAGTTGTTACCACCTAAATGGTCAGGCAGCAACTGAGACACAGCCTTTGTTTGTCACCCCTCGCCACGTACTGGTGTTGCTGCCCCTGACTCTCAAGTGGACATCTTTTATTAACTCATGTGAAGATGTTGAATGATCTAGTAATCTTGGTAATCAGCTGTTGTAGGGCAGGAAAACATCTATGACTTCTGTCCAGCAAGATCTGGAGATTTCAGGTTTAGACCATCACAAGGCACAAAGCATATGTGTGCAGCCTTCCTTTTATTTGTTCAGCCTCTCCTATTCAATTTAGTTATTGCCCTTGCTATTATTTTTTCCATTGTTGTTACAGGAGGCAAAACAATTTGAGTGTATGAGTATAGGCCAGGTGCCAGAAAATTAAGAAAAGAAGATCCAGCACAGACCACGTGGGAAGAAGTAGATGTTGCCTACAAGGGCCAGGACAAAATATTTGTGTTTATAGAGTTGGATGCATTGATGGGTCTTTCCAAATGTGTATGCTGGATGGGACGGGAAATTGGAAAAGGTCACAGAGACTTCAAAACCCAAAGAAAGTATATTCTAGAGAAAAGTGGCTCACAGCATAGCTTCTTTCTTCATTCATTCATTCTGTGGATGATTTTTAAACATTTACATATATGTCAGTCACTAGGTGAGATTTTGGAGACTCATGAATTAGGTTATCAAAGATTCATGGGAAGAATGATTATAAGGAAGTAGTTGTAACTCACATGCTACCCAGGACCATTCTACTTTCTTTCTTTCTTTTTTTTTTTTTTTTCCTTCTACTTTCTTAATCTAAAGACTAACACAGGGGGCTGGGGAGATGGCTCAGTGGAATAAGCACTTGCCTGGCAAGTGCAAGGGCCTGAGTTCATTCCCTGGTTCCGCAAAAGAAAAAAAAAATAAAATAAAATAAAAAATAAAGACTAACACAGAAGAGCAAGCACATGCACTGAACTTTGCTAAGTCTTTAGAGGTTCAGAGTCAAAGACATTGCTATCTGTGCCTTGGTGTCAGCATTCACAGACAAAAATACAGTGATTTGGTTCTTTTAGCTCCTCACATTTGCTCACCTCAATCCCTATCATGTAGCACTAGAACAGGTTTTCAAACTAAAACCACATTTCTCTGCTAAGTCAACAGCTGCATAGGTGGTCCTGAGAATTATCCAAAGGCTTTGCTATAATCACAGATGACACACTGCTAGGTCAGGTAAAGCAACCTCGGGCATTACTGTGGAAAGTTAAAATTCTCTTTTGCCTTCTCATTGGCGTCCATAAGCTAGCAGGTGGCAATAATATCTTGGCTGTGTATTTTCTCTATCTACCTAAAAGTCCTATCTCTATTAGATTCACAAGGGGCTGCCTTAGACACAGTGGCCACTACCATTGCCTATCTGCAAGATCTCTAAACACATTATGATTCTATACTCCCACAGGGGCTCCCTACACCTATGCGGTCACCCTTTCACTCCTGTTTTAGGTCTTCCTTCAGTTCCTCACTCAGTCTAGGTCAAACCACCCTCAAACTCAAGTTCTATCCATTCTTGCTCTGAAGGAGCAAATTATTTCTTCTATTTTGCTGATAAGCTATCTGAATTCCTTCACCTCCCTGTTTCTCAATGTCAGAATTCCTCTCTGTATTTTCCTTGAAGGCTCACTGATCTCCTCAGTCTCTGAGGAGGGTGGATCTCTTCTCCTGGCCATTGTCAGCTCTCTGTCAATGGTGTTTATCTTTTTTCCTCAGGTTATTTCTTGGCCAATCCCTCTGTCTTCAATCTCTTCTTCACATCTCCTGTTGTTGTTAGACTTACAAAATATCTCCTCTAACCTCAAAATTTTCACAGTCCTTTTCTTCCCTGATAAGTGACTCTTAAAACTTTTTTTTTTCCTTCTGTTTCTTAGAAACAAAATGGCGGAGGGAAAAAAAGTCATGACCTTGAAGCTTACGTAAGAGTCAGCGAAGGACAGTTACGTGACTCTTCAGTCCACATGCCTCCTCATTTCCAAGTAATCTCTGGCTCACAGCAGATGAGAAGACAAAGACCTGCCCCCATTCTCATATTTATGTAGATGTCCAATTAGTTACATAAACAACTGCCCCCGGCCCTTACAGGCACAAGTTTTCCGCTGCACATTTGGAACTGAAGAAATCAGATTCCAAGGACATTGGGGAGTTGGGTTTTTTTGAGTGGCTGGAGCAGCAAATTCTTGTCATCTGTCTTCATTGCACAATGAAGTTGAATGTTTATGACAGGCGTGATACACAAAATTCTTAGGAAAAGTCACTGTTAGGAGAGATGTCAGGAGCCAGGATTATGTTCTTTCCCTGATCCCAAATCATCTTTCTCATTCCATCCCAAATTTTCCATTCCTCTTTTAGCTCCTTTCTTGTCCTAATCTACATGAGTTCAAAGGCCACTAAGGATGTAGGGTCACATGGGGAGCTAAGAGCCACACCTTGAAAGTTGAAGACATGACTTAAAAATGGGTATTTGTAAATCTAAGAAGGTACAAATAACTCCCATTGCTTGTCCCACTTGGATAACATTGCAGAAGGTCATCAACAAGTCTGAGTTATATACAAACCCTATGAAGTCATGTAGCAGTGGTGAATGTGGATTATATCATCCCAGGCACTGGATATGATTAAAACATAACAATTGCTAGGTTTTCATGGCCAGACGCCGTTCACACTAGGAAGCTATGCTGTGATGAAGAAAGGTCGGATGTCATACGTGGAAGTGTCATAGTGGAACCCACAAATTTATACAATTAATATGAGTTAATATTTATATTAAGAATGATAAGAATAGAAAGAAATGTTATATTGTTTTTATGTCTTATAAATATTTCATTATTGAGTAAAACCAGATCTATTGTAGAATTTATACAAATAAAAATATACCTTATTAAATTAATAAACACATAAGTAAATGCATTGTGATATGAGCTTAATGTGTATTTTTAGCCAGGAATAACAACTAATGAGAATTCAGGTGCATGGTTCTTGACCTGGTCATTTTATTGGGCAACTTTGTGTACTGAATTATATTTAGAATTCTGGCTGAATCTCGCTTATGTGCCTTATTATACAAATGTCAGGAATCATAGGGTGACTTTATTGAATAATTCTATAAACATTCTATAATTCCGTAATAATTCCATAAGTTCTAATTAAAAGCTACAATCTCTTTGCCAAGTTTCCAATATGTAATTTCAACTGATTATACCACTGTGAAGATAATTTTCGTGGAAAAAAATCGTACATTTATTACTTTCCATCAGCTGCAATAAATGCTCGGCAACACTTTCAACTAATTATATGCTAATGAAATAAGTCAGTCTTTAAAGCCTTGTTAAGCATAAAGTTTAATAGCAAGGCTTAACATATGAGGCCATCAACAAAGACTGCAGCATTTTTAAAGTCTATACAACCGTTCAGCCTTAAAAAGGAAGGAGATTCTGACACGTGCTCTGATGGGGTTGAATCTTGAAGACATTATGCTACATGAAATAAGC